ATAGTCGGTGATACTGCAAAACGTTCTATGCCAATTATTACCTTGGAGCTTAGATGGCATATTAACTGTTAACTGAAATGCTTCTACGAATCGTAATACACTCGTAAACCAAAGACAAAACTGTCCAACTTTGATGAAGATAAATGATTACCAGAAACTTTCAGATTCTGGTGACAGATCAGGGTTGCCGTGATTCGGATCCATGATCGAATCAATTTCGATTCGAAATTTCTTTTTGAGATTACGGCATTCGGTAGCGAGTTCGCTGATTTAGCCCAGTAAGCACAGAAAAAAGCGTCGCTTCGTCGAGTTGGCGACAGGTAAACGGAGTACGCGTGCTACAGTGCAGCCATACTTACTTTGAGTAAGTTTTATACTTTCTATGAGTATAACGACCCGTAGGACCTTACTCGTTAATCCCCTACTCAGTCCACAGTAGCACTTGTTGGCAAGGGTGATTCTGAATTGAATTTCGATGCTGACATTATTATCGGTGTCAATGCTGGTTCCCAAGTAAACGAAATTCTCAATTTTCTCGAAATTATAACTGTCAACAGTGACGTGGGTGACAATGTGCGAATGCATAGACTGTTTGTTTGAAGACAGGAGATACTTCATCGACCAGAAGAGACTTTGCCGTTCATGATTTACGTAGATTATTTCTTTGCATCAGAATTTGAGAAATTTTCTCGGGGTATTTTAATTTAAAACCTAATATCTCGTAACGGAAAGTTATTCAAACAAATTGAATAAAAATTCCCTTATTGTAGCAGAGGGTGCATGTTTGAAAAAACTAAAAAAAAAATTTCACCTTGCTAACTATATTATACAGAAACACAAGTTCAAACTAAGGTGAAATTCGATTGCCTGTTCATTCAGAATCTAAAAAATACGTGACGGAGTAATATGGATACGGGGATAATGATCAGCGATCAGCTTAATGTACAAAAAATAAATCTAAAAATAGCTAAATCAAAATTTCAGTTATGTCTAAAAAAAATACAGCAGCTTAAGAGAAAGTTTTGAGATGATTCCCCCTTACTGTTCTATAAAAATCTGCGTCAATATGATATTTAGCTCCATCACGTGAAAACCAATAGTTTAGTATCCTCCCAATGCACTCACCAAAGAGAGCCATTCTTTACCCGGCCAACTTATCTGCAACGCGATTCCCTGCAATATCAATATGGTCTGCTAATCAAATAGGCCTGACTGCGGAAAATTCTCGTACCAACGTCCAGCAGTTTAACAGACATTCGACTGCTTCCTTAATGCCAGCTCTGTCTGGTAAATAATACAATGACAAGGAAAAGCTTCAATTAAAGGTTGATGAATAGCGCCCTGCATACAAAAAACCATCCACTGACACTTCCATCAAGCTTCAACCCATCCGTGTAGAAATTAACCGGTGTCACCTTGCAACTACTGCTTCCTGCTCGCTCATTCCTAAAGGAAATGTGAGTGGCGAAAGAGCTAAAAAAAAAGAAGTCTAACGCAGAAATCGGACAATGTCCAAGCTTCAGAAACCGTTCTTTCGAGTTTTCTAATGAGGGAAAATACAAACATGTGCTATACGTCTGTATTTCATAATCGCAAATTATACATTTCGATGCAGATGAATTTGAATTTTTGTATACATACACACTAGGAGTGCATATTTTTTAAATGAGCATTCGCCGAAGTAAAATATCATGACAGCATTTGCCTTTAAAAATCGCATTAAACATTTTAGCACTATTTACATTTGAAGTTAATATTTTGAGCACAAATTAAATGCTAAAAAATCGAATTCATTTTAAGAAAAAAGCTAGAAGCTGAACCCAAAAAAAAAAAGATAAATGTAGCTAAAATGGCAACACTGTCAGCGATTAAATTAAACCTCATATATGTATGTATATTATCCACAAACTTCTCAAAAATACACTTTGATATGTTCGAAATCCTTACTTAAACCACAAAGCCATCTATCAACTCCCTCCTATCCTGTGCGAAGGTTTGTTCGGACAAAATTTTTTCTTTTTATTTAATTTATTTTTGTTTAAGATCCTGAGAGTAAAGAGCAAATAACGGTCAAGGGCCATGCCACGTTTTTCCTTTATTTAGCGATAGTTTATTTCAATTCAGATTTCGGAATGATTACGTCTAATTTTATTTCCAACGATTTTGTAGCTGTAACTAACTAAATACTATATTAGAAATAAAGTTCGATCCACTTACGTTTCATCAGCAACATGACTGCTCACGACGACTGCGCCTGCATCACCTGTCGTTGGCTTTGGCGAAAATTGACTTGTTTCCGTACCGCCAGAGGTAGATATGATAACAACATTGTTGACAGCAACGCTTGGCTGTGCCGATGTAACAATATAACTGGCAGTATCGGCACAAATTTCCATTGGTGGTAAATACCATTTGGTTTGTGAACCGCTACTTGCGTAAAAATCCGTTGTACTGCAATGTTTCTTGCTTTTTGGTTGCACATCGCCTGCAACAACCGCCACAATAGTTGCTGGAATTTCCATATCTTTCGAGTTGGCTGCGGTCGCTATTGCTGTTGCACCGGAACCACTATCATCTGCGGCTGTAATTTCCAATACAGTTGCCGGCAATGATTCTTCCAATGTTGTATCGAATTCATTTACCGAAGCGCGACCACTGTCCGTTGCCGGAATATCCTGCTGTTCGTGTAACAGTTGCTGCGAATTAATAATTAGTGTTTGACCTGCCTGCTGTGACTGTTCGGTCGCACAAGTGCCGTTAGCAACAATGTTATCGCCACCCACTAGTATCACGTTGGCGGTGATTGCGAGGTTGGCGGCATCATTTTTGATGTTAGTGTTGTTGGCATTGTGACTGTTGGGGTGGTTGAATATGTGAATGCTGGGCGAAGTGTCTGCGTCGTTTGGACTCGGCTGCTGCTGCTGCTGCATTGTTGTAGACATTTTTCGAGTGTTGCTATTTGAGTTCACTTGCTGTATTTAGTTGTTGTTTTAACACCGATTTTTGTGTTTGTTATAACAAGTGCGACAGCTTAACTTAGTTATGTATGCAGGTATGTACATATATAGATTCTTAGAAGAGCATAACAATGCTGGAATACAAAGCCCCTGGGCTAACAAACGCTGTGAAGGCGGAGGTTGAATGGCTTTCGCAAAAAGTTGTACTGTATTTCGCAAGAGGGTGGCAGAATTTGTGGGTTCGTTAGATAGAAATTTTGTTTTGCAATCTATTGATTTTGCAACTTTTCACACTGTTGTGCAACAGAATTCTGCACTGCGTCAACTAATTCACTGACGCTTGTGTTGCGCTGGTTTGACAATTTTTTTTTTTGCTGATTGTGGTAAACAAATATGTACATACACACAAACTTAACTATACACTTGGCACAATCGGATACAGCGTCGGAAATAGCTATGCACTTTGACATTTCCGTGGCAAGGACGACAGCTGCGTAGCGTTGGTTTTCGTTTTTATTATTGTACCTATTTTTATTTTATTTTTTTTTTTCAAAGATACACAAAAGGCCGTGGCTGGCAGTTGTACTTGCCGTGGGCTTAAAAGCGCTGGTAGATACACACACACATATGTATGTACATACATATATAAAAAACTTTGTATATAAATCACTTTTCGTTAATTGACTTTGAATTCATAAAATTTGCACTAAAATTTGTTGAATAATTTTCTTAAATACCATTCGATTTGCTCCCGTGCGTAGGTACGTGTCGCGTCATTCTCTTCTTACTAAGCTGTATACAAACACTTCAGAAAAATTCTTTTGCGTTCTTTTTGTACACTCAGCTTTGCTCCTTTTATTTTGTTTGCTTTGTCTTAAATCACAATTTACTCAAATACTGGTTTTCTTGCTTTTAATTTACTTATATTTGCTGCTCTTCAGCATCGCCAAATAAAAAATAGATCCGCTAGCCGCCGCGCGTCCAATTCAAGCGTCATAAGTTAAAAACAACAAGAAATAAACTGCAAAACACACCAAAAGTTTATATCCATACAGGGGGATTGTTGTTGGCGCCCCAAATGCAACATGTTTCGCCTGCAACATGTTGGTCGCACACGTTCTGTGAAACGATAAACGAAGTGCTTAGATAAGCAAATTCAACGTATCCACTAACGCGCATACGTACATACATACATATATCCATACATATTAAAATTTCTAGATATGAGTTTGTATACGAAGCGTGTTGGCGCTCGTTTCGCCTGCAAACAATTTTGCACCCACCTAAGCTCTGCAAACAAAGTTGCCGGGTATGCTCCACAAACAGTGTGACCATGTAAGTTCTTTTGAGGCTAGATACGGGGATTTTTTGTAAACATTTTAAGCCTCTGAACAGCTCCTTGTCTGATTTTGAATTTTCAAAATTACTTCGCATATACCTACATATGTACATATGTGAATGTTCATAAATTATTAATACCTCCGAGACCAGTTAATCCTTAACGGAACCTATTATATTTTACAGGGAAATTCTGGCTTAGATCTTTGTCTTTCTAAAGACAAATGAAAAGCAAATCGCTACATAGTTCGATAGACTTTTGTTATTGCAGCATACAATTCTTTGAAAACCTTAGCTATTCTAGTCTATTATGAGAGATAGCATTTGTATATCATTTAGCTCGAGTCGGTCCAACATCGTAGTGGCCGAGTGAACAAAGCACTGGCGTGCCATTCGAGATATCCTCGGAAAGTGGAATTTTCTGTTTTTTATTTAAATTTTTTTAATGTTTTTTAATTACTAGATTTTTTTGTTGAAAAAAAAAATATATATATATATATTTTTTAATTTCATTTAAGTTTTACCAAGTTTTTTTGAAATTTTTTCTTTTTTAATAATTTTTTTTTCTTTCTTTAATTAATTTTCTTTTAACTTATAGATGGTATTATTTTGGATTTCGTGCTCAAAAAAGAAAAATATTTTGTTTTTAATTTCATAAAATTTTAGAAAATGATTTTATTTTATGTAGGCTGAGTTTCACCAGATTAATTTAAGTGAAAACTGCATTAATTTTCAAATCTTTGATTTCACCAATCAATTATAACTTGTTTTTAATTTTGATTTAAGTGACCCATGCTCTTCACTTAAATAAAAATTAATATAGAATAACCACACTCATAGATGCTACACGTTTAATCAGCTGATCAATGTTATTAAAACTGAAAAAAAAAATTAATGAGATTTAAATAAAAAATTAGACTAAAGTTATATGAGTTTGGTGAAACGCAGCCTTAATTAAGTTTTCTTTTAATTTTTAGATATATTTTTATATAAATTTTTTTATTACATTTTAATTTTTAAGTACTATTTTCTCCCTTGGTTCAATTTTATTGTTTTCAATTTAATTTTAAGATTTTATTGTTTTAAAAAGAAAAAAATTGTTTTAATTCAATTTAATTTTTAAAAATATTTTATATTTATTTTATTTTAGTTTATTTATTTGTTTTGTTAGTTTGGTTTATAATTTGAATTTCTCAGCAAAAACGACACTTATAAAATTACCTAGTACTAAAAACCTCTCTGAACTGATTTAGCTACGGGGTCAACCCTTCTTCGTTACTTTAATTTAAAAAAAACTAGTTTGCTTTCCTTGGCCAAATCATATANAACATTGTTTTAATTCAATTTAATTTTTAAAAATATTTTTAGTTATATTTATTTTATTTTATGTTATTCATTTGTTTTGTTAGTTTGGTTTATAATTTTAATTTCTCAGCGAAAACGACTGTTATAAAATTACCTAGTGCTAAAAACCTCTTTGAACTGATTTAGCTACGGGATCAACCCTTCTTCATTACTTTAATTTAAAAAAAACTAGTTTGCTTTCCTTGGCCAAATCATATATTTTTTTCTATCTTACATAATGACATAACCTACGCTTATGTAGTTGGATGAGCGATAATTTTTGTTTGAAAAATGTTGAAATGTGTTCATCTATTTCTAACTTCTTTAGCAAATTTAGCTTTGTCATCTGGTCACACTGCTCAAAAATGTTGTAGTTTGTCGGCATTTTTGTTTGTGGATTGCATGTTTGGGGCGATTTAAAAATATTGTACGATCCACAATGTATACATCGAGCTTGTTCGCTTTGAACATAATTTTATGGTATGTTTTTAAGCGTTGCCGTGTTGCCGTATGGACATAATTATTCCATATTTCGTATATTTATATAACAATATTTTCAACGTGTTTAGTAAATTAATAGATTTATATTTCTTACTGGAAATAAAATTCAATATTCATTACATTGCTGCTTCGTTTTTGTGTTAAGAGTGATGCTAATGACTTCAGCAGGAATCACACGATTTGCACGGTCAATAAAATCTTTCCAAACAACAACACTCTGTAAATGTGAAAACGTAAAAATCTGTAAAAATATGCAATTCCGTGATCCTTGATTTAGGCTACAGCGCCAAATAACAAAAATAAGATGATAAAGTAATAACTTGTTTTTAGAGCTTGCGCGATTTTACAGGGACTTAATCTTTAAGCGAATTTGTTAATCTGTCAAACCGTCGTTTTCAGTGTTACAATATGCCATACTCTCCATCTTGCATTTGCAACCTTTCAACAAACGGAAAATCGATTTAAAAAAAATAATTTTTTTGGTAGGATTTTGTTGATTTGTAGAAGACATTTTGTTAAAAAGGTATTTTGATCTGGCAAACCTTATGCGCTGTTGTATTTCTTGAATGGAACTCATTCTAAAAAGCCTATAAATATGCAAGGAAATGTTAAATACTACAGTAGCTACACAGTGAAGGCTTATTAAAAAGTGACGCTAAAAAATATTTATTATTTCGGTTCAATATGACCGTTTTCACATTAGCAGACATGCCGTTTTAATTTTTTTTTGGTTTTTTGTGATTTTTTTTTAATTTTCATTGTTATAAAGTATTGTTTTTTTTTGTTTTTACATTTTATTTTTTATAAAATTACCTTAATTTCAGTGACAAAAAGAAATAAACTTCCAAGTTAAGTTGTTTTAAAAACATTATTTCAGAACGAATAACAGACCTATATTTTTTTTTTTGTTTTTTTATAGTGATTCTCTTTTATCAAAGAATGCCTTGTCTTCAGTGACATCCCATCTTATTGCAAAGTCATTTCATCCCATGCACATATGTATGTGTGTATGTATGTACAGAGGCTCAAACAAATGACCACGTGTTGTTTTTTTTATATTCGTAATGTTTTTCTAGCTATTTTTTTTTTTTNGAAAATATTGAAATATGTTCATCTATTTCTAACTTCTTTAGCAAATTTAGCTTTGGCATCTGGTCACACTGCTCGAAAATGTTGTCGCTTGTCGGCATTTTTGTTTGTGGATTGCATGTTTGTGGCGGTTTAAAAAATATTGTACGATCCACAATGTATACATCGAGCTTGTTCGCTTTGAACATAACTTTATCGTATGTTTTTAAGCGTTGCCGTGTTGCCGTATGGGAATAATTCTTCCATATTTGGTATATTTATATACCAAATTCAACGTAGTAAACTTCTTTAGTAAATTAGTTGATTTATATTTCTTGCTGGAAATAAAATTTAAAACGAAACAAATTCAATATTCATTACATTGTTGCTTCGTTTTTGTGTTAAGAGTGACGCTAATGGCTTTAGCAGGGATCACACGATTTTCACATTTGGACAGTTTAGCAGTGACAGTGTGATGTTGGCTAGAAATGTTTATCGAGAATGGGTGCCGGTTAATAAAGTCTTTCCAAACAACAACGCCCTGTAAATATGAAAACGTAAAAATCTGTTGAAGTTTACAAATCCTGTGATCCTTGATTCAGGCTACAGCGCCAAATAACAAAAAGAAGACGATAAAGTAATAACTTGTTTTTAGAGCTTGCGCGATATTACAGGGATCTAAGCTTTGAGCGAATTTGTTAATCTGTCAAACTGTCGTTTTCAGTGTTTGGGGTAAGAAAAAGAATTACCATATGCCATACTCTACATCTTGTATTTGCAACCTTTCAACAAACGGAAAATCGATTTTTAAAAAGAAAAATTTTTGGGAGGATTTTGTTGAATTGTAGAGGACATTTTGTTAAAAAGGTATTTTGATCTGGCAAACCTTATGCGTTGCTGTATTTCTTGAATTGAACTAATTTTTAAAAGCCTATAAATATGCAAGGAAATCTTAAATACGACAGTAGCTGCACAGTGAAGGCTTATTAAAAAGTTACGCTAAAAATATGTATTATTTAGGTTCAATATGACCGTTTTCACATTAGCAGACATACCGTCTTAATTTTTCTTTGTTTTTTGTGATTTTTTTTTTAATTTTCATTGTTATCAAATATTGTTTTTTCTTGTTTTTAAATTATATTTTCTTTTGGTTTTTACGTTTTATTTTTATTTTTTATTGTTTTTTATAAAATTACCTTAATTTCAGTGACAAAAAGAAATAAACTTCGAAGTTAAGTTGTTTTAAAATCATTATTTCAGAACGAAAAACGGACTCAGAATTTTTTTTTTGTTTTTTATAGTGATTCTCTTTTATCAAAGAATGCCTTGTCTTCAGTGACATCCCATCTTATTGCAAAGTCATTTCATCCCATGTACATATGTATGTATGTATGTATGTACAAAGACTCAAACAAATGACCACGCGTTGTTTTTTTTATATTCGTAATGTTTTTCTAGCTATTTTTTTTTTTTGGAATTTTATTATAAAAATACCGTCCAAGCTTTATTTAAAACCATATAAATCACTATTTCATAATTTATACAAAATTTAGGAAAATTCAACAAATTTTCATTAAAATTTCAACTTTTTTAATTAGATTTCCTAGAAAGATTCTGAGTATGCAGTTTTGTTACGGTTGATGTTTTAGAATATTTTTTGTCCAGGATGTTTCGGTTTTCGTCTATATAAAAATAAAGTGTGTATTCGTTA